ATTAAATCCCACAACGGCATTGACAACATTCACAAGGGGAAACCCACTTACAAGCCGTCAGCATAGACAGTGCATTAACACTTTTACAACCGGTTAGTACATTTTCATCTCAGCCGGCGCAAATTGAGTCATACCCATTGTTTTGGCCAGAGACGGGAAAATACCTGTGATACGGTAAACCCCTCTGATGGTTGTTATATTACATTAACCAAAAAAGCCAACTACACTTTCGGTGGATTTCCCTTTCGCAGGACTTTGGGAAAATGTTTTGATTCCTCATATTTCTAGTTTTTTCAATTTGCTAATGATTGTTTCTTTGAAACTCCACCAGAATTTTCGCCCCCCTTTTTTGTTTTTCCTGTGCTGACCGATTTTTGCAATGTGTGTGTGGGGCCCATTGTTGTCAAAGTGAGAGTGTATGAAAGCCGCAGACAAACGTTTGTCTTCTTTTAAAATCATGAAGGAAGGCAATGTAATGGTGCTATGTTAATTTTAATGAAATATCAATAAAATAAATTTTTTACTTTTCAAACCTGTCCCAGTCTTCTTGGTAACAACTTTTTTCAGTGATCCTTTATCACAGAATACCCCCCTTTTTTTAACTCCGCAGCTAGGCTTTTACACACAAAACAGTAGCTGCCACCACGGGTTTCAATGGAAACATGCACCATTCCCAGCAAATTCTGTAACCATTCAAAACTTAAACAAAGCCTATGATACCACTGTCCGGTCAGACAGGAATATTACAGGTTTCACTATACAGTAGCACTTCACAAAGACAAGGATACGTTAAGTTCTTGTGCAGAGCATAGAGATAAGCTCAACGATTTTTAAGATTGTCCTTTAATAAAATAATCTGTGCAGGAAAAATATTTTTAAAAAAGACGAGACCAGTATATAACAGCAGCGAAAATAAAAAGGGAACACTGTATATGCATCCTGACCACATTAAAGTAATACATTCTGAGGCTTCAATTGGGTTTGAAAAAAAGGCAGCCCTGTGGAAACCACTGGGCCTGGGGTGGGGGTGTGGTCTGCCAGATCCCAACTGAAAGTACACTGGAAGAGAAAGAGTGCCACAAGCTTTTAGTAAGTCCAGCAGGTCTTTATTATTCACAACAAAGATCACAAATGGTAGCCAATGTATTTTAGCTGATCCCCCCTTCATCAGGGCTGAAGCTGACCATACACCTATATATTATCTGCAGATTTTCTTTGGTCAGATGGAAAACGTGCAACAGATTCCTCCATCTACGCTAAATTGTGTGGATGAAGGAATCTCCCGCTGGGCCAAGCTTCAGTATCTTGCTAATCGGCCCAGCTGGCTGTTAAAATACCTGAACGATCTGATTGGATGCCGGCATTGTTCAGGTGTTTTGAGAGTCAGCGGGGCCGATGGATGGAGATGATGGAGATGATGGAGGAATCTGTTGCACTTTTTCCATGTGACCAAAGAAAATCTGCAGATATTCTATAGGTGTATGGCCAGCTTAAGAAAGAAAGGTGACTCCACCCGGAATGATTTTGGTGCTGGCAGACTCCACATAGGTGGGCTCCATGGATGGGCTTGAAGCAAAACTGAAAGAACTTTCTGGGCAAAGATTGCCAGAACAGAAAGCAATAAAGAACTAATGGGGGTTTGTAAACTTTGAGGCTTGGTACCCCAACACCACCACCAACTCTTCAAAGGGCCCTACTTACATCTATTTTTCTACATATAATAATAATGTACCAGGTTGTATCCCAAAACAAAACCCTAATACAACCTTTCCCTTGGGCAACTTAAAGAAATACACAGAATTATTATTGTAAATAGAAATCTTGATAATAGCTGAGCGTGACACGTGGGATTTGACACCAAGAAGATAAACAGCTTCCCAGTGGATGATAAAATCTTAATAAAATGATCCTGTGATATTCCTCGGTCAGCAAAGCCTGCAGCATCACCGCTCAACAAATGGTATCATTCCACAGATGTATACTCCACTTTCTACCCATTAAAATCCATTGGCATTTCTAAACATATACAAAGACAACAATGAATCTTGAGTTTTATTTAAACTCTGGTCTATACTGAGATCTTTATTTCTGATTAGAAAATAGAATATAAAGAAACGTAAACAGAGACAAAGATAAATCTCGCATTTGAATGACCTTTCTTACTGATGGAACTGGAAAACAGGGTGGTAAGTTATTTTTAAGACGTAATCCCTTAGCGGATGTCATTCAGTCTACTAAAGCACTGTATATCATAAACAACTGCCACGTTTTTTTTTCCACATGACACTCTTCTCACCCTTTATTGCATCCCATTGCTGCTGGTCTTTTGTAGTCTCTTTGCAGCCACTTCCGGTCTACATGCACTCCAGTGATAGTTGCATAGTAAATCACAGGGTAGGTTTCCTGCTGATGACAGCAGATGACAATGCCTTCATAATATGCATTAAATAACCTACTTGTAGACTCTATCAGAACCCAGTGTGATGGGGTGGCAGCACTGGAACACAGTTGTGGGACAAGAATAAAGTGATGCCACCCTATAACAGGAGGTGCTACAACAAAAACCTTCATGGCAGAATCACTAGGAATTATTTTAATGAAAGCTGCAGATTTGAAAAGAACAAATAATATAACAAGTAGCTATGGGTGATAGACTCTGTTATATCTAGTTTTTGGTTATCAACATCTCAGTATTCAAAATTACACAACAAATTCAAAGGAGAAGTATTGGGAAACTAAAATTGACTCTTCCCAATACTTAGAGCCGGCGTGTGACACTACAGGTGTCACATGCCGAGTCAATAGATTAAGAGCTGAGCGATCATGAACTGATGATTGCTCAGCTCTTCCCCCCTGAAGAAAACAATGATATCAGTCACCGCTCCCCTCAGGAATTCCCCTGCTGCCCTCTCTGTTCCTCTAGCACTCATCAGAGGGACCGACAAGGGAGCGGGTGGATACAGCTGGCTCTGGCTCCAGAGAGGAGGGAATTAGGGATGAGCCAAACTGAGATTGAGAGTTTTCATTCCCCAAACTTTCAGAAAAAAAGAGAGATAGCACCAAAATTCTGCCATTTTGGGCAAAATTGGAGTCAATGTAATGGTGAAACTTAGGTGGTATTTAAGAGTGCAGTGGCTTCCAAGTAGCTGCTGAGGGTTACTTAAGCTGATCATGGCACCTCATTATTCTCGTTATTTTATGTTTTCTTTTTAAAGAACAAAAGTCACAGAATGGGGGAATGGGGGAAAGAAATAAAATAAATTAATACATACAAATAATAATAGAATACACAAAAAAGAATTTTCCGCTTTCATCAAAATAAGTTTGTTCTTCTCTACCTTAAATACAAGAATTAAAATAAGGAAGGTCCCTGTATTACGTGGTTTACGCAGTGCTCTCTCTTTGAACCCTCTGCAGCCTTGCTCTCACACATAAGAGGCAGGCTGCATAAGAAAAAAAAAAGAGACTGTGATTTGGTCCAAAAGCCTGTGACAAACCTGCTGAAGATGGCTTCAGCTATCTACTCCAATTAAAGGGAACCTGCCTGTGCTGTTCAATTCTGAAAATGAAAGAAGATAGGTGAGATTTCTTGTAGCACACTTTTAAACACATAAAGGCTTATGTACATGGATATTACTGTACTGTTATTTTTGGGCAACACAGTGGCTTAGTGTTAGTCCACTTCTGCCTTGTAGCACTGGTGGTTCCTGGGTTTGAATCCTGGTCAGGAAACTGCAAATAGTTTGCACGTGCTTCTGAGGGTTTCCTCCCACACTCCAAAGACATGCTGGAAGCAGTGGCGTAACCAGAGTTATGTGGGCGAACGACCCCCCCGCCCCCCCGGTTGTTACGCCACTGGCTGGAAGGTTAATTGGCTCCTGTTCAAAATGGGCCCAGTATGCGTATGGAATGGGGACCTTAGATTGTAAGCTCCTTGAGGGCAGGGGCTTATGTGAATGTGTAGTTTGTAAAGCCCTGTCTAAATTGCAGTGCCATCTATGAAAACAAGTCTCTTGTTTTTTCCTTGTAAAAGCCGAAATGGAACAAATTAAAACATGTGGTGAGTCCTCAAAAGAGGAGGGGCTACAGGCGACAGTTCTAGCAGGGTCTCCAACCAATCATAACAGCCTCATAAAGCCCAGTGACATTGCCCTTGCTGCATCTGTTCCAGCCATCAAAAGGTTTGCCTTTTGAATGGGAATAATATAGATGTCTCCCCTGCCTATGATTCTTTCTTGACTGGTGTCAGTGGTCATGTGTACCCTACCGTTGACAGTGTGTTCCAGCCAGAGGAACACTGAATCTTCACTTCACTCGTGTTCATTCTAGGACAAAAAATAATCTGTGTCTGGAATTTTCAATAAATGTAGTCCTTAGGGGAATTTAATACAGCAGCTTCACCAAACCTTGTGGGTCTTTCCTCACTAGACTTAAAATATCTATTATTATTACATTTCACATTTTTTAATTTATGCACTACTATTTATGGTTTATGATGTCCAGTTTTATAGCACAAAAGTAATGTTACATGTTGAATATATTATTCTCTTCCTCCTCCTCAGAACAAAGAGCAACGATGAGTAATGAAACTTACAATTTTAACACAGATTTTTACCTCGCAGGACTTTCTGAGGTTTCTGAATTTAAAATTGTACTTTTTATTGTCTTTTTATGTATGTACATAATTACACTGGTTGGAAACATTTTTATCATAATGGCCTATAACTTCAGTGTAAAACTCCAGAATCCCATGTACTTCTTTCTTGCTAACTTCTCTGTTTTAGAAATCTTTTATGTTTCAACAACTGTTCCCAAATTGTTGTCAGATCTCCTATCAGAGTCTAAAAGGATCTCCTTCTATGGATGCGCTCTTCAGTTGTATTGTGTCTTGTTTTTAGCTGGCACTGAGTTCTACATTCTTGCAGCCATGTCGTATGATAGATACAATGCCATATGTCAACCACTTTTATACAACATCATTATGAACAAGGTAGGCTGCATTCAACTCATTGCCGGATCATGGATTATCGGAGCTTTAAATGCCTTAATACACACTGCGTTTACATTTTCTGTTCCATTTTGTGATTCTCATAAACTCAACAGCTTCTTTTGTGATGTCCCTGTATTATTAAAACTAGCCTGCAAGGACACGTGGCTCAATGAACTTATCGTGTTCATCTTTGGTGGTGGGATGACATCCGGTTCACTTATATTGACGGTAATCTCCTATATCAAAATAATATCAACAATCTTGAGCATCAGTTCAATGTCCGGAAGGAAGAAAGCCTTTTCAACCTGCACTTCTCACCTAATAGTGGTTACAATATTTTATGGCTCAGTCTTCTTCATGTACTTGAGGCCCAAATCAAGTTATGGAAAGGATGAGGACAAGCTGGTGGCTGTCATGTACACGGTTATTGCTCCTCTGTTGAATCCATTTATTTACAGCCTTCGAAATAGGGAAGTTAAAATTGCTGTTAATAAAATAGTTTACCGGATTTTTGCTCCCACTAAAGTGAGAAACGAGATGAGTATTGATGAGTAAGCCATTGGCTCTAAAGGGAAAAAAAGGTTGTACCCACTTCAGTATCGATCACCGCTGCCTGCCCTTTTTTGCCAATATTCTACCCCGTCTCTCTCTTCTAGCTGATCCCACAGAGTGTTATTATACTGTAGTTCTTTACCTTGCCATACTCCACACCAGAGCCTCCTTCACTGCAAACTACCATAGCTTTCCACATCTGTGAAGACATTGGCCACTTTAAGGGCCCATAAGAGCAGCCAACTCTGTAGGGACAATACACAGTCTAATCCATTTACTTGCAGCCTTTAAATAGGGAACTAAAGATTGCTGTTAATAAAATGATTTGGCCTCCACTAAAGTGAGAAATGAGATGAGTCTTGATGAGTAAATCATTGGCTCTAAAGAGATGTTCTCCACAGCTGTAATGACATTGGCCGCTTTAGGGGCCCATAGGAGCAGCAAATTCTGTAAGGAGAATAAACCCAAATAAACTGTCATTTAAAATTGGCTAAATACATTCCAGGTGCATCAAAACAAAAAGTGTACAAAGTTTTAGAGTTTGTTTTCCATAAAAAGCAGCTATAGTCTTAGTAGAAAAGCCTTTGCTTTGCCATAATACTGTTGGGAAGGATCTTTGCTCTCTGTGTGGAAGCAATGGTCTCTCTGCAGTGAAACAATGTTGAACCTTTGTAGAGAGATCGCTGTTTCCACACAGATATCAAGGGTCCTTTTCTACCACAGGATGGAAGGGGACAGGCTTTTCTACTCAGGATGTTGCTTCTTTCTAAAGAAAACTTTGCACACCTGTTCTTTTGATGCAACTGCATTTATTTACCTAATTGTAAATACCTGAATGTATTTCTTTGATATAAATATCAAAGAAATGAATAAAAAGTTTAGTTAGATGTAAATGGTATTATGAGCTAGAGTGCCTTCATCTTAATCAGTGATGCTTACACTAAGCTCTCCATTACAAAGTAAGAAATTAAATAAACAAATAAATGGATTCAAAATTAAAAATAAATTAAGATATAAGATTTTAATTATGAAGTTGTGTAAATATTCACTTAAATTATGCAAACAGGTGAAAAGAAAATTCCTGTTCACTTTGAATACCGATGAACCAGTGCTATTCACTTAATTGGATGGATGATAAAGGTGAACAGTTACACATTTTTCTCAATGAAGATTCTCAGCCTTTTTAGCAAATCAGTTTCCTCATTTGTTGTGACTTGAATTGGACTTTATAATGAGCCCGAGCTTTAACAGTGCAGGGTTTGCCCAACTCTACTACCACCCACACATTTGTATTAGCCAGTAAATCAGTCCATTTTAGTGATGGGCCACTAAGGCTTTATGGTAAGTAGAAGGGAATGGCTCCTACTTCTCCCCAACTAGGAGGTGCCAAGCTATACCCAATAAGAAGTTGCTTGTGCTGTGCCTTTAAAAGTTGATTATTTGTCCTGTTTCAAAACATATATACTGTATATGTATATACCCAGATACCCAGATTCACTATAGCCCGTACAGCTCCCAAACGTGGCCGAGCGGCTCAGTCGAACCGAACGCATATGCCTCGGCTCGGCTGAGCCGTGCTGAAAGCCGAAGCTGGCCGAGCGGCCATTGGCCAGCCGACAGCCTGCTTCTGACAGCTGGGCGGAGCCAGCCGTGATCTTACGGCTGGCCCCGGCCACTTGCAGATAGATCAGCGCCCCTGGTTAACAGCTAACCAGGGACACTGATCTCCAAACAGCCTAACTCTCCCTGGCGCTCTGGGAGTCTCCCGCTCCCGGCCGCCAAGAAGAGAAACACTGCTTTTTTTTGTTTGTTTTTGTTTTTGTGTCAGAATAGAAAAAAAAAAATATGTTTTGCCCATTGGAATGCATTGCTAGATTCCTATTGACTATTTAAATTTGCAATAGCCAATAGTAAAATAGCATTGCACCTGCCCTCTGCTGATGGACCTGATGGAGAACTGCAGCAGAGGGCGGGTACAATGCTAGTTTACTATTGGCTATTGCAAATTGAAATAGCCAATAGGAATCTAGCAATGCATTCCAATGGGCAAAACATTTTTTTTTCTATTCTGACACGGCTCCGTGTCAGAATAAAGGAAAAAAAGACAAATCAGTGTTTCTCTCCTGGGCGGCCGGGAGCGGGAGACTCCCGGAGTGCCCGGGAGAGTTTTTTTTCTTTTTTTTTGACGGCAGCAGAACCGCCGGCTAATAGAAAACTATTGGGCGGAGCTAGCTGTCATTGCTAGCTCCGCACAATTGTTTTCTATTTATTTTTTTAGACTTTTTTATTAACTATTTTTCTGTTCTGCTCGGTCCCCCAAACATATGTGTTTGTTTTTGTCTCTTTTAAAACATTGCAAGTACAGAAAAACACCTCCTAACTTCCTGTAGTGAAATGATAACGCTGCCTCTACTGCACTGAAATCCAAGCAGTGTTGTCAGCCCTGGCCAGTTCTTCCCTGCTGACACGAGTGGTGAAAAATCTCTGTTTGGCTTACTGGTCCGATAAAAACATTGAAGCTTAAACAAAGGCAGCTGATGGTGTCACACCACTCAGAGTTTACTCTATACTGTGGAATAAACAGCAAGATGAGAGTCCAGATGTTAGAGTAAACGAACCCAAACACACTTGTGCTGCTGATTTACTGTTCAACTATACAGACTACCAGTGAAGAGAATGAAGATGTGGGTTCATGTTGCTTGTCCTGCTGAGAGTCTTCTGACTGTTTGCAGTAACTCCAATCTCCAGACCTCTATTGTTATTTACCATACAGTTTTGTCAAGATTCCCAGGAAGGAAGAAGAAGGAACAATATCTTAACTATCAACAAAAATGTATCTTATTTGTGTATCACTCGGCTGTAGATCCTCAAATCATCTCTGAATTGGTGCTGACACTGTCCTTCCTTCTGGAGGGTGGCTACTTTTGTTCCCCATGGTCCCTGTGAGTGTTGTAAAGTAGCCACCGCTCCAAGCTCACTCCCGTGATGGACTACAATCTCATGTTTAGTTTACTGATTTGTATTGAGATTGTAGTCCATCACAGGAGCGAGCTTGAAGTGGCTACTTTACAACACCCACACAACACACATTTAAATACCTTAACACTAGTTAAGGTATTTAAATGTATTTTTAAGGTTTAACTCCTGAGTTTAGTGTCACTATAATAATCTCCCTTACAGCAGTTTCCTTTTGGACAAACGAAGGGAATACGTGCAACTATTAATACAGAATAAAAATTAAATCACGATTGGACAATATACTCTGGGATTTGACACATTGGAAACTTCAAATTTCTCAGTGGATTGTTTGATGTTAATAAAGATCCAGGCCTGCACAAATTGTTGCCAGTGCACCAGCCCTGCTTAGTGAATGTGTGCATAATACATTTCACAGCAATTTTTTGTCCAGCCAAATGTGCTGAATAAAGAAGATTTATCAAGAAGCCATCAGCAGTCTAGTACAGTCAAGTAGCTATTTATTAAACAACAGCAAAGATGTATGAATGCCTGTAGGAAGATTTACAGAAACAAGAAAGATAGAAGCTGCATTGTAATGATCATTCTTATAACTGCGTTTTAGTTGCTGTCTTGAAAATCAACATTATAAGTTAGGCAATAGTCATACAGGTGTGTTTACCTAAATATCTCCATTATAATAAAGGAAGAAGATATTGTTTAAAATATGGACCGGCTGGATTTTCTACATCTAACAAACTGGCACATTTATTTATTTTCTTTCCAATAAAAGGATTTATTTTCTGAATTGTATGTTCATTAAAGCCCAATTGAACCTTCTTTTTTTTTTCCTACTGTGATACAGCCTGGCTGCTTAAATAAAGGATTTGTCACTCTGTTTAATGTTTTTAATGTAGTAGTACACTGCAGCTTTTGTCAAAATACATCTCCCTACAGCATGCCAGAGAAACAGTACAACAGCAAAAAGTTTCCCAGCACACTTACCAGCCAGCATGCAAAAAAAAAAACCTGTCTAACCGCTAAGGTTAAAAACAGAGGTTTTAGATACACATCTTCTGCAGAATGTGTGAAAGCCACGCCGCCTCGTCAAGGCTCCTCTGTGTAGTGCGGTCTTAACTCAAACCTATGAGAGTCTCCATCTTGGAGCACATGTAGCAAAGGATAAAAATTGGGTGCAGGTTTGCCAGGAGGCACCCAACCTTCTTAAAGGCACAGGGACACACAAGGGACCGCCGCACATCACAGTGGCAGCTGAGACCCCCAGTGCGTCAATGCACCAAATCAGTCAAGCAAAACAAATGGCAAACGCACTCATCAACTCATAACCAGCTTTCAAGCAAGGTTCACATTGTTTTGCTTGACTGCTTGAAACAGAGCGCAATGGCGCAGGTCTCCACATCTCCTGTCGTCTCACATGATTGATGTACAGTCATCAGCAAGCTGCTCGAGTAAGTGCTCCTGGTGCTGCTGATGCTGTGCAGGGGATTAAAGGAGGGTGATATCAAGCCAAATTCAAGTATTTAATTTTTTAATGCATTTTTTTAAATCTCTGCCTTCACATTTAAAGAGTAATTCCACTTTTGCAGCCAAATTGGGATAACACCTATTTTATATTTGTTACATGTTCCCATTCACACAGCATAAGCTAAAAAAAATATTTAAAATTGCTTTTTGCAGTTTAAATTGGTTTTTACTTGCTAACATTTGTAATGGCTTCTCCTTCTTTGCAATGTTAGGAGAGACCGTGAGTTGTTTGTGTTAACATCTGATTTTTTTTTAATAGGCCTGAATTGAACAGTAGAAGTAGCAGCCACAACAGATCTAAAAGCTGTAGGAAAGTTTATACCTAAAAACATTATGCTAAAACCCTCAACTTTGTAGAAATGTGTCTGTGGCTAAACAGTTTAATATAAAGTTTGTGATTTGCTTTTTTCTCAGTAGCGCACTGCGTTGTCTTAAAAATTGTATAAAATGTAAAAATAGAGCACACAAAATCACTTCAAAGCACCAACCCTACATTCCCAAAC